CGACACTCATTGTGATCACTGGTTCTGCAGCTCAACTTCCCACTGCAAACACCATGGAAACTGGATCCCACCCCAGAGAGGCTGCTTTCATTGGTCAAGGAAATTTTTCAAGCTCCCTGGTGATTCTAATGGGTAACTAAAGTTTTGAAATCCACTAGTCTTGATTAACTAACCCTCTCTCTCTTTCTTAGCAAGAACAGAGAGCCCCCCCCAAGGGGGGGTTACATGCTCCAATTTATAAAGCAAATTTGCAAGTCAACTAGAAATTGGGATATCCTTGCCTAGTTTGGGGCTGTAATAGATTGCTTCTTCCAAAATCCAGGTCCTCTGTTCCCACGCATGGGAACTGACAGCCCCTGCTCTTCAGAGTGATTTCCAGTCACCTGTCCCCCTCCCCACCATGCACTTGCTCTGACTCCTTGGACACACTTGAACCCTCGTGATTCCTCCCTACGCTTTGTTTTCCTCTCCTCCTCCATTGGGTCCACTCTCCTAAGCCACTGAAACCATCCTTGGTCTTCTCAATCTCCTTGTAAGCCATCCTGTTATCCTGAACTAAATCTCTCCCAGCATCACCACTTCTACTTCTTTCTGATGCAAATCAAAAAGGCTTCACCAGCAAGGTCTCCAAATTTGAGTCTGGCTCAATTCTCTGGGCTTCCGTCTTTCTTGCCTTCTTGCATCCACTGAATCTGCTCCTGGCTGCACTCTCTAATACAGCCCCACAGCACTCAATGAGCAGGCCCCTTGGCTGCCATGGCCCCAACAGCACTTTAGGAAGTGGGGGCTGTGAGGAAAAGGCCAGGCCATCTGCATTTTGTCAGAAAACCCCAGGACACCCGGTCTGGTTGCTGTTCCACTCAGGAGCTTCCCCCAAGCCTACAAGCTACTCTCTGGCTTCCTTCATCTCCCTCCTCTTTCTTTGGGAGAACCATGGCAGCCCTGTCCGCAGCACTGCTGGACTCTCGAAGCTCATCCTGTTTGTCTGAGCCTAAGTACCCTTGCTGCTTGCTACATGGACAGTGACACCCGTGACAGGTGCAGATAAAATAGGGACATTGTAGAATGGCACCAATTTGAAATCAAGGCTTGCCCATGTTTAATCTTATTGACTTTTACTAATAGACTATTTCAACCGACCTGTCAATCGACCTGTCAATATTCGTTAATTATAGTTCCATTTTGCTCCTCTCTGGCTTGCCACTGCTGCCCCCTGTCAACTGAAATGCTTTGAAGCATTGGGTCTGCTTATCAAAGACTCAGGACACCATAATTTAAAGGGGAAAAAAAAAAAGTGGCTATCAACCTTAATCTCCTATATACAATGCCATGGCCCTGAAACACTGCAGAATTTGCCACCTTATAACTTGGGTGTGAATTAGCCAAGCTTTGATTCACATGCAGTTGGGAATCAAAACAAGCTAAAATGCCTTAGGCAACAAAATGCTTAAAGCTATAATTAGATGACAAAGGCTGTAATATTGAAACTGAATTTTACAAACTAATCAATTGAGACTTTAAAAAGAACAAAAGGCCATCCTAGTTTAGCAATTTACTAAATACTGAGGCAATGTTTAATAATTTGCATAAAATAAATTTAGCTGCTTTTACAATAAATTAAGCATAATGAAAGAGTATACCAAAATTTGAAACTCTACCAAAGGTTTTTGAATCATAAAAATTAGTTCATGAACTTTCCATTATTTATGAATGAAATAATAAGTACACAAATTTTAATGATTTATCCATGTCATTAGATTGTTTCAAATGAGCAGATAGCACAACATAATGATACAGAAATAGCTTCTGCCAAATTATCTTCAGGATTCTCCCAATTCAACACTTGTAAAATCTGAACCCAAGAAAGCAAGCATTATAAGTAAATATGGGCATTGATTTATTTTAGTTTAGTTTTACTACAGGTATTCTATGAAAATTCTGCATTCAAAGTCACAAAATAACAGGCTTCAGGGCAAATAATTTGACAGTAATCATCCCAGGTTTTATTTTAGTTACCTCTAAATATTTGACTTACAAGAAATTGCATTTGCATTAATTATATGTGAAATTAGTCTAGAAAAAATATGCCTAAGATAGTTGCCTTATTCATTGAATGCTTACTATGTTCAGCATGGTACTAAGATCAACTTCATGACTCCCACTTCAAAGATGAGAAAAGTGAGGTTCAGCAAGGGTTGAGTTACTCAAAAGCACACAACTGTGAGGTCACTTTTCTACTTCTCTTTATTTCAATTAATACATAGATTGGCCTTTTTTTCTCTTCCAACCTATTAGGTCAGAAAAAGGGGTGAGATCTTAGCCATCAAGTCTTTTCTGATGGGCAGAAATCCCATCATGAAACAGATTTCAATATAATTTAGGTTTGTGAAACAGTCATTGGTGGCATTTCTACCTTTCACTCAAAATTCTCTATAGTTTTTCTTGACCTCATTCTCCTTAATGTCAAACAATGGCATTTACCACAAATGTATGAAATAAAATGCCCCAGGACAACGTCCTGAAACTAACAAACCTCCAGCGATAGTTAGTGGTTATAAAATTGGGAAAATGTGGGGCCAGTGTTGAGGCATTGCAGGTTTAGCTGCTGCCTGCAATGCTGGCATCCCATATGGGCACCAATTTGTGCCCTGGCTGCTCTGCTTCTGATCCAGCTCCCTGCTCATGGCTTGGGAAAAGCACCAGAGGATGGCCCACGTGTTTGGGCCCCTGACACCCATATGGGAGACCCAGAGGAAGCACCTGGCTCCTGGCTTTGGCCTGGCTCAGCTCGGGATGTTGTGGCCATCTGGGGAGTGAACCAATGGATCAAAGATCTCTCTCTCTCTCTCTCTCTCTCTGTCTCCCTCTCTTTGGTGTAACTCTGACTCAAATACATATTTTCTTTAAAAAGAATTGAAAAATATAATGGGCCTGGGGGTGAGGGAATGTTTATTCCAGGAAATTTTAAGTATTTGGCGATGCCACAAAGTGTTCCTCTAGAAATTAGCTCTCTCTTTTTATTTGTAAATAAAGAATTTAGCCTGAGTCAGGAAGAATGCTGAGTAGTTAGTTGGGAGACAACACGAATAAAGAAAGAAAAGTCGCAGTTGTCTCACTTAGGGACCAGTCTAGAGATAATCTCTTAGGACTGCAGTAAGTTTTCCTGCCCGGCCATCTAGAAAGACAGGTAATCAACAGTTAGCATATATAAGCCTATCACTCCTTTCTCCGAATACATAGAATTGAGCTGTGTGGCATCTAACACACATCCATTTCTGATGGACAGCTGGTCCCTGTGAATTCTGCCTCTCAACCAAGGTAAAGGCAGTGAGCCAATTCTGTGTATTCATTTATTTCTTTGTTAAATCCTACATACATCCAATTAATCAGCAATATTGATTGAACAATATTATATACAAATCACTCTACCAACCCATACAAAACTTAAAATTAGGGGTGGATATTATGGTACAGCAAGTTAAGCCACACTGCTTGGGATACCCACATCCCGTTTGAAAGTGTAAGTTTGATCCCAGCTATTCTGTGCTTCTGATCCAGCTTCCTACTAAGACTTCCGAGAGATAGTGTGTGACACTCGAGAGATTGAGTTAACACCACCCACATGGGCGATTTGGATGGAGTTCCTGTCCTGGCTTTAGCCTGGCCCAGCTCTAACTGCTGCGGGCATTTGGGAAACGAACCAGCGGCTGGAAGATCTCTGTGTGTCCCCCCTCTCAAATAAATAAATAATAAATAAACAAACCCTTAATATGAAATATGTACCTTGTCTTATATTTCTGTGGGGCGGCACTGTTATAAATAATACAAAGGAAAGTTCGCAAGGCTTTACCAGATTCCAACTATTATCTGTGAAAGACAAAAAATAAAATAGCAAATGCCCAGAATGAACCTGAGAAGCCAGCCTTCCAAATCAGGGCACCGTGAGCTAGGTGCAAAGGGTCCAGCTGGGATCCAAGGAACCAGCTGGGCAGGGCAAATGCAAGGATGGCGGGGAATCGCCGAGGGGCCTTTGGGAACCACTGGCTTACGGCTTTGAAGGGGGCCCTGCCATGTAATATACAGGACAGGCATTCCAGGTCTACATGCGGACATCTACATATGAAAACTCAGAACTGGGGAGAGGAAGGACCCGAAGGAAAGGACTGGCGTGGGGAGCAGGAAGCGCTCTCAGAAGCAGTTAAGCCTGGAGTGTGCTTCACCACAGCCCTGGTTGGGGTATGTACCCCAGAATCCTCACGTCAGAAAGGCCAGTCCCCAAAGTCCTATGAAAATGGTAGCAGGAGGTGGGGCCTTGGGGAGGTGATTGGGATTCGATGCGGTCACAGGGGTGGGTCCCCATGAGGGCGTTAACGGCTTTACGAGGAAGGATGAGAGACGAGCTAACATGCTTGCTCCGTGTCACCACGCCATGCCTTCTGCCACGTTATGCCGCCACAGGAAGGCCACCACCTCGACACTGGGTGTTCCAGCCTCCAGACCCAGGGACCCAATAAGTCTATTCTTCATAAACTACCCAGTCTTCGATATTCTGTTCCAGCAACAGGAAAGGCACAAAGAACCCTGCTGGACCAGAAAGGTCCTCCTCCAGCCCCTTCCCTCCTACCTCCTGAGCCCCCTGGGCCTGACAGAAGAGGTGCCCCCTCTCAGCTCTCATTCGGCCGCTGAGTGGTAGCCTCCGAAGTCCTGCATACCACGCTCTTTTTAGTCGTGTAGCGGAATAGTTTTGAGATGCCGTCACTCTTTGGCTTCTCTGTTTTGTGCCTTTCAACTCTTCCTCTTTTCACTCACTCTCCGTGTCTGAAACGATCCCTCAGCTCAACCACCAGGACTCGCCAGGGCGCCCTCTGCCACCTGTTTTCCAGTCGGGCAGGTCACCCTCTCACATCACACCCACCTCCTCACTGCTCCAATCACAGCTCATACGTCTTGGTCAGTCCAAACCTTAATAATGTTTTTAATTAGCCAGCAATGAGTCATGATTATGAAAGATGACAAAGTTGCAGGCAAATTTATTAGAATATTTCATCAAGGAGAAGAACTTTTCTATATGCACAAGGAAATGAAAGTAAACATAGCAATGAAATTCTTTTTAAACAATATTCATTAATTCACAGTAATTAATAAGGAAGTAGTCAAACAAATAGGAGTACTTAAATAGTGATACATTTCATGCTTTTGAAGACCATGACACAGGAAAACACATCATAAGTTTACAAGTTACATAACTGTACATATCAAAATCTGACCATGTAAAATAAAATACATAGGAAATGTAAGCAGTGGCTACTTCTGGGTTGTGAGATTATAGGTAATTTTATTTTTTTACATATACTTTGTTTTACAATTTTTTACAATGAACATATATTACTCTTATAGTCAGAAAAATATATACATAAAATAAACTGTTGATTCTCTAGAGTCAGATTTTAACGAATCTCATTTTAAAAAGAATACCACCAAAAGCTTATCTTTCATGGAAAGATGATATATGATACAGTACAGTGTTTCATTATCTGCCATGACCCTGTGTCAGTGAGTTAGTTAGCTGCTATGACATTGGTTTATCGGTTTAATAGGAGATTAGCTTGTCTATGAAACAACTCCAGTGGACTAGAGACGTCCCTGTCTGAAAATCAGCCAGACTTATTTGAGGGGCATTAAAGGATAAGACCTTATTAGCCCTTCCAAGAAATCAGTAGCAGGTTTCAGTGCAAAAGTTCAAAGCAAAACTAGTCCGACCCTACTCTCACAGAAGCAGAGCTGTAAAAACACAAAATTCACCCCGGAGATCACAACGCAAATCTTCCAGTGGTATCAGACACGACTGCTTCTCAGCCTATTAAGAACTTTTTTAAAAAAAGCTACCGATTTGAAGGCATGACAGCCGAGGCTAAGGACTAGAGTGGAGTCACCGCTTCAGAGTGAGTCATTCTTCCTGCCTCTGGAAAGGTCATTTTACTCATGCCAAAGCCTGCTCAGAAATAAAAGGATGTAAAATCAAAGTAATTATAATGCTGTCCGTAATAATAAGCACGCTTCTCCTCTTTCCTCTGCCTATAGACACTGCAGTCCACTGCCTTTCTCAAGGGCTTTTAGTTTTCCCTGAAGAGCTCAGCACCTCACGGTTCATTCATTCTGTAGCAAACTTGTATCAAGTCTCCTGTGTGTAGGCCCACAACAAGGCACCCGGGAGACAAAGCCCTCCAGGACCAGCGTGTACAGAACACCCCAGGAGTCACAGAAACTCCCATGAAGGGCTTTCTAGGTGCATCATTCATCAGATAAGCAGATGCATATTAGCAGCATTGAATAGAAACAGTGCTTTTAAAAGGAACACTTCAGCCCCTGGCTCCTTTTGTCTCTCCCATATGTAGTCTGCCATCTTCCCCTTCATGGGAAATTGATTAGATAGAGGCGTGGCCACTGGGCATTACTATAGCAGCTGACAGATGGTTACCTGGGACTTTTTTTATCTAATACTTGCAATGATCAATTCAAGAAACATATTGAAAATATTCCCACTCTGGTCATCCAGATTTCGGTACAAAGGCTGATTTGATACAGTTAGCATCTCTCAAGCTTTTGTTACAGAATGTGTTACAGAAATGACGGTGCCTGTCAGTTCTTTAGTCACCAAAAAGAGAACAAACGCAGGCGCTTTTCACATTATTCAATATTTTCCAATCACCTAGACCCGTATCAGAACCTCTGTCACATCCCACCAAAGGGTTGTGTATGAAATGTGCCGTTTCACAACACTGAGAGGTTAACAGCCGATGAGTGTGCATAACCATCTCAAAGCAAATGACTGGAACATGCCCCAACTATTTGTAACTTCTTCTGCCTTTCTTAGAGTAGTAAAAGATAAGAGAGAGGGAAATAATGAAAGCAAAGAAGAGAAAAGCTATGAAGGCCAGTAAAGACTTCCGCTTGTGAAAAAAGCTGCATTCGATGCACTTGGAGAGTTCTTCTGGACAAAATTCTTCCAGGGTTTCAGAGCTTGGGAAACCATTGTTGTCGATAATTCTCCTGTAATGCTTCATGGACGGTTTGGGCTCAAACTGGTTTGCAGCATAACGGTAGAGGCCAAACTTGGGAGCTGAGCGATCATTAAGAGAATAAGCAAAGTAGCCACACAGATTGATGCCATCCAGCATATAGGCTGGAAAAACCAAAGGACAAGGAGAGGCGTTACTAACATATCTTGCACACCACACAGCACTTTTACATAGCTTTGCTGCATCAGGGGAAATTTTAATATCATTTCATAAAACTCCACTCAATCAGATTTAATCAGAAAAGGTTTCTTTGATGCAAAGACAAATAGGCAAATATCAAGACAAACACTGAATTTCATTTAACAGTTGGTGCTACAGAATTAAACCCACTATGATTCACTTGGGTTAAACCTTTCTGCACATCACCCAGTTCTGATTGCTATGGGGCCATCTGAGGCGGAGACCAGAGAGCCTGTGCCTTTGTAGCACGAGGGTAGGTGGTAGAGAACTTGATCTTCCACTGTTAGCTAACCTCCTTTATCCCCGGGGAAAAGAAGCGGAGACTTCAAAAAGTTCATGGACAATGGAATCAAAGACAGGTGTAGGGGCCAGGGCTTGACTCAGCAGTTAAGATGCCCACACCCACATCAGAGCACCTGCATTCAAGTCCCAGCTCTGCTCCCAATTCCAGCTGCCTACTAAGGTGCACCCTGGGAAGTAGCAGTAATGGCTAGAGTACTTGGATCCCCGCCACCCATGAGGGAGACCTGAATTGAGCTCCTGGCTCCTGGCTTCAGCTTGGCCCATGTCCAGCCACTGTGAGCATCTGGGGAGTAAACCAACAAACCGAAGCTTTTTCTCATTCTTTCTCTCTCTCTCTCTCTGCCTTTCACATAATTTTTTTTTGAAAAAGATAGGTATTTAAGTCCATGCCTAAAAGGAGTATTCAATAAATTCGTGGAAAATGCATATCATGAAGTCTTTGCATGGATTTCAAAGTTGCTTGCATCAACATAAACTTATCTCTGAATTCCGTTTCCCAAAAACTTCTTGTGATACTCTCTCTCTCTATTTTTTTTTTTTTTTTTTTTTGACAGGCAGAGTGGACAGTGAGAGAGAGAGAGACAGAGAGAAAGGTCTTCCTTTGCCGTTGGTTCACCCTCCAATGGCCGCTGCGGCCGGCGCACCGCGCTGATTCGATGGCAGGAGCCAGGTACTTCTCCTGGTCTCCCATGGGGTGCAGGGCCCAAGCACTTGGGCCATCCTCCACTGCACTCCCTGGCCACAGCAGAGAGCTGGCCTGGAAGAGGGGCAACCGGGACAGAATCCGGCGCCCCGACCGGGACTAGAACCCGGTGTGCCGGCGCCGCAAGGCAGCCTAGTGAGCCTAGTGAGCCGCGGCGCTGGCCGTGATACTCTCTTACTGGATACGCCCTGGGCTGCTCCACAAGGAGCCCTTGGGTCCACGGGCGACAGCGTGTAGCTTCTAGCAGAGCTGTTGTCAGGCCCCGTGCCCTTGGAGACCTATCTGCCAGGGGTTGCTCTTGGGGAGCGCCTTACCTTTGAGCGCTTCATTCACATAATTCTGAATGTAATACACCCTCAGCTGGTCTTGCTCCGCCTGCAGGTCATCATCAATTCCGTTGGCTATGACATACATGGGGAGGTCCCCATACTTCAGCCTCAGCCAGTTCAGCACCTTACGTAACCCCCAGGGCACCACCGCCACCTGCCCGGGAGAATTGAGCCACGTGATGTCAGTCATCTCCTGTACTTCCAAGTAATCATTGTATTTTGTGGGATCTTCTTTTTCCCAGTCTACAAGGATGGTGGTGTAATGGCTTAGAGCCAGAAAGTCAAAGGAACCCCGGACCAGTTGTCTCTCCTCTTCGGTGAAATACGGTAGAAGAAAATTGTTTCTTTGGTTCAGCCAGTCCCTCATCACACGGGGATAGTCCCCAGAGCCGAAAATGGGCTCAGCCAGCCAGCCAATGTCAAATTCCAGCACTCTCTCGGCCACCTCCTTGTCCTTCTGGGAAAAGGGGCAGGCGGGCTCAATCCAGTCGGCCTGCAAGGCTATAGATACTTTACCCTTTTGGGCGGGCCTGAATTTTCCGTCGTACTCGCGCCAGACCAGCGCGTGCGCCTTGAGCAGGTGGTGCCCGGCCCGGTAGGTCATGTTGCGCGTGTTCGGCTCGTTCATGGTGATCCAGAACTTGATGCGGTGGCCCAGCTCCATAAAGCACAGCCGGGCGTACTCCACAAAGGCCAGGACGGTGTGTGGGTTCTCCCAGGCGCCCTGCTGGGCCAGGGGCTGCGGCAGGCCCTGGTGCGGGGCCGCAGGTTGCCACAGGGCCACCACGGGCGTGATGTTGGCACGCACCAGCTCTTCCACCACGCAGCGGTAGTAGCGCAGGACCGTGCGGTTCACCTGGGACCGGTTGCCCAGAGGGAGCACCAGGGCCCAGTCCAGGGAGAAGTGGAAATGCGTGACGTGCGTTTCCTGGAGTAAGACGATCTGGGACCGGATGGCCGCGAAGTCCACGCAATAGGATTTCCTCTTCCTGCTCACAACCCCGTCCAGCTTAATCAGCCTCTTGCTGTGATGGACATCCCACAGGTAAACATTCGGATCTGTGAACTGCGACAGGGTGGTGTCTACCTACCAAGAGGACAGAGCCATGTCATGCAGTAATTTCAACAACTCCTGCAAGCGAGATAAGCCACAGTCCCAGCCTTTCTGGAGGCGAATTTTTAACTTCTTTTCATAAATTCTCAGTTCCAGAGGAAGAAAACCTTTTGCTTTCTTTTGTATATGTTTTAAATTTGCTCACAGTTCTAACTCTCAAAACTTCATGTTTAAAAAAAAAAATCTGAGATCCCATCCGAAGACTGGCACTCAGGACTCCACACACCGTTTGTAGGATGTTAGCAAGATATTTTTGGATGTTCCTATAATAAGAAGAAGTCACTAATGCTGTGGGACTCTTTAAGTGTCAAAAAAGGATTAGACAAAGCAAAAACGGGAAACCTGATCTGGAGTCAGAAAAGGAATCTTCTAGAATCAAATGTTGATCATTAAACCGTGCTTAAAAGCACATCACTGCTGAGGTTTGCAATAGGGAGAGGAGGTCAATAAACTTAACTGTTGCCTTTCAACGGCAGAATTTAAAGCATTCAATCTGATTGATGGTAGAAACTCTGAGCTGGCGCCGCGGCTCACTTGGCTAATCCTCCGCCTAGCGGCGCCGGCACACCGGGTTCTAGTCCCGGTCGGGGCACCGGATTCTGTCCCGGTTGCCCCTCTTCCAGGCCAGCCCTCTGCTGTGGCCAGGGAGTGCAGTGGAGGATGGCCCAAGTGCTTGGGCCCTGCACCCCATGGGAGACCAGGAAAAGCACCTGGCTCCTGGCTCCTGCCATCGGATCAGCGCGGTGCGCCGGCCGCGGCGGCCATTGGAGGGTGAACCAACGGCAAAGGAAGACCTTTCTCTCTGTCTCTCTCTCTCACTGTCCACTCTGCCTGTCAAAAAAAAAAAAAAAAGAAACTCTGAAAGAGAGGGGCCGGCACTAGTGGGTTAATAGCTGTGTGCAACACAGGCATCCCATGTCAGCAGAGTGCCAGGTAAGGCCCGGATGCTCTGCTTCTGTTCGCCGCCCACGTGGGAGACATACATGGAGTTCCTGGCTCCTGGCTTCCTCCTGACCCAGCCCTGGCTGGTGCTGCCATTTGCAGGGTGCGCCAGTGGATGAAAGATCTCTTTCTTGCTCTCTCTCTCTCTCTCTCTCTCTCTGAAATAAAGAAATCCTTAAAGAACAAAAAAAAGAAAAAGCTCTGAAAGAGAGTGGAGAAATAAGAGGCAATATTTTCATCTACCGATAGTATTTTGTGGCATAGAGGGTTTTTTTCTAAATTATTTTCTGCAATGATGATGACACTGGTGACTCAAGCATGCGATCTATGCAGGTACTTCAAAAATGTCATGGGACATAGAATTAAAAGATAAGTTTATCTTGATGCAAAATAGTGTTGGAATCTCTCCATATGAGGGGTCTTCCCTCCTCTCCCTCCCATCGGGAAGTAGGCCTGGATTGCGTCCCCAATTCCCACCCAACCTTGGCCAACTGTGGACATTTGAGGACTGAACCAATGGATGGAAACTCATATTCTCTCTGTCTCTCAAATACATATATAAATAAATAGTTCATGGAAACATTTATTATGAAAAAAGTGCACACAAGTTTCAAATTCCATTTCGGCATCAAAATAAACTCTTCCAATTCCATTGCCCACAAACATCTTGAAGCAGCCTCATCTATGCCTCCAAAACGAAAAATAGCTATTTAGGAAAAATGGGCAAATATTAAACATCAAACTCCGCCCTCCACATGTAAGCGGTGGAGGAAACACAAACTGAGAAGCCCACCTGAAAGCTGTGCAACCTAAGCCAGCTTCCTCCTCCGCCATAATCAGCCAGAAGAGGTTCCCTGGCCGGGTTCCCTGGTGAAGCAGGGCTCAGGTAAACCTGGTTTTGAGGCTCTGGCAAAACTTTTTGCTGCATTTGGGGGGCCTGTTGTAAATCCACTGCCATTTCTCTAGGGGACTAAGTGCTGTGTTTATGAAGGAAAGCAATGAAAATCAGCATATCAGAGGGAAATTGCTTTTTCTAGAGAAGGGTCCCATGTAGTTCACCCACGCATGCACTTCCCTTAGCGCTGTGCTAATGCTGGCACAAGTATTTTTCCACTGTGGTGCATGCACAAATCATGTTTCCTCAGCCTTGCAAGAGAAAATATTTACACACTCTTTCAAAGTAAAAGTGTTAGGGTTTGAAGGAGTTTTCTGGATTATTTTTATAGAGCTCTGAGCTGACTAAATGCATAACTTCTCTACCATAATTGTTCCAAAACAACTTTTATTCAATCTATCACAAAACAAATATGAGAGACTAAGGTATACTTTTTTAATCTGTTTCTGGAAAATAAAGGGCATTTAGAAATGGGTGTTGAGGCACATTCCATCTAACCTCAATTAATTTGTTGATTTAGTTTTTGCTAAAAAAATGAAATACTACAGTTGGCCTGTTTAGAAGGAATGGGTATAAAGCATGTATTGAGTATGTTTTGGAAGGAACTTTCTCTGATGTCAAAGAAGTCCTGTGTCCTCAGTTCGTAGCACATTCTGTAGTTATTTCACGATGAGCAGTGGTGGTTAGGGGAAAACAAACCTGCCAGCTGGGAACTTAGATCCAAGCAAAATGGCTCCATAGGAATGAGCCCAAGGTCAGACTTGAGACAGGTTTTGGGTTGCATGGGATGTGAATTTTAAAGTTGTTCAGGTGAAATGTATGCTGCAAAGGGTCGGCGTTGTGGCGTAGTGGGTAAAGTTGCCACCTGCAGTGTTGGCATCCCATATGGGCGCCGGTTCGAGACCTGGCTGCTCCACTTCTGATCCAGCTCTCTGCTGTGGTCTGGGAAAGCAGAAGAAGATGGTCCAAGTCGTTGGGCCCCTGCATTCACGTGGGAGACCCAGAAGAAGCTCCTGGCTCCTGGCTTCGGATCGGCACAGCTCCAGCCGTGCAGCAAATTAGGGCGTGAACCAGCAGATGGAAGACCTCTCTCTCTCTCTCTTTCTCTCTCTCTCTCTCTGCCTCTCCTTCTCTCTGTGTATAACTCTGACCTTCACATAAAATAAAATAAATAAATCTTAAAAAAGAAAGAGAAATGTATGCCATGAGTACTAAGAGTTTGAAACACTAGCCACGAGGGAAAAGATGAATTTCAATGGCTTAAAAATCACTTCTCAGGATTTTGATATATAATGTATGAAAAGCACAGAGGAAGTGCTTGTAACTGCAGACACACACCGTGGAGCTGGCATAGCAAAGGCCTCACTTTGATTAGTCCATTGGGGAGTGGGCCTGGGAAGGATGCTGCCACAGATGGCAATGCATGAGGAGAAGACCTCAAAGGGGCACACAGCAGGGGCCGCCAATCCCTCCCCACCCCGCCCACCCCGAGAACTTCCAGAGGAGTTCACATCCCCAGGGGTCTGAGAGCTGGAGGGACAGAGCTGAGGAGGTAAAAGGACAGCGCGACCTGAGGGTGGGGCTCTGGGCTGCTGAGGGGCTGCCCTGTGATCAGGCTCTAAACCCACTGCCTCTAGGGCATGAGACACAAAGCATTCCCCGCCCCCCTGCATCACCCTGCCTAGCCAATCAGACATTTCACTTCCCACCAGTCTCTCTCCTTCCTCAAGAAAATAGGACACACCCACGTGGTGGAATGAGAAGGTGAAAAGGTCATGCAAAGATGGCCGCTGAGGTGCAAAGTTCATGCCAAGATGGCCGCTGACAACAGAAACTGCCTGGCAATAGGCTGTGATTGGATGGCTTCAGAAACCACATGGCAACAGAGCCTGACTGGCAATAGGCTGTGATTGGATGGCTTTGGAAACTGCCTGGCAACAGGCTGTGATTGGTTAGGGCATAGACCGCCCCTTGACTGGATTGGCTGCCTTGGCTATATAAGCAGCTGTAGCAACTGAAATAAACGAGTCTGCGGGCTGCTGGCCTCAGGCCTGCTTTCACCCGACTCCTGGGGTCTGTGAGGTGACTCTGCGCCTCTTGAGCCCACCCTGCTCCTCTTCTCAGAACGAATCCTCTCAGAAGAAATCTACCGCAACACACCCAGAACACTTTCTCACTGATTTCCAGTTCCCAATGCAACCACACAGCCCTTGGGTGGGGAGCAGAGTGGAGCAAAATGTATCTCTCCAGCCCCCAAACTTCCCTGGGTCCCTAGGGTCTACACCGAGGAGTGGGCCACGAGACACTCACACACTAGATGAACTGGGAGCTACTTGCAGGCTCAGGCTGCTGTCACAGGATTGGATAGGGGCAGTGACAGGGCCTGGTGCCCAGCAGGGAGCCCGCAGAAAGTCAAGCGCTAGAACAGGGACAGGGGCCCTCTAATCTACCCCGAGCCCCAGTGTTAGGGTTTGACTATAATTTGGCCTCTGAACTCATGCAGGACTTAAACTCCCAAATCATAAGTTAACGGCACTAGCAGGGTGGAAACTGAGTCCATTCTGGCATCTAGGATGCGGAGCTAAAGAGAGGGCCTTAGGTCACTGGGGACATGCCCTCCAATGGTAGCTCTCAGAGGAGGGTTGTTGTAAAAGCCTGAGTTTGAGACCAGCTGACTCTCTGCTTTCCCATTAATCCTGTGGTCATGCATTGCACACGTTCCACCGACACCATCGGCCACTCTCATGAGAAGCTGAACCAATGGAACTGGCCAATCCTGGACTCGCACCTCCAAAACTTCCAGCTGAAAACAGCTTTTCTCTTTTAAAGTTAATGGCCTCAGGCCTTTTACTACAGCAATGAAAAGCTGACTCCTACAGCTAACAAAGGGGAGGAGGAAGGGAGGATTGCAGGGGGCATGTCTTCTCCTCCTCCTTGTCTCCTTCTCTCCTGCTCCTCACCAGTCCCACTTCTGTCACCTCCAATGCACTTGAACTGGAGACCCCCCTCTGGAAAGGGAAATTAGGAGAGGGTGGTTCCAAATAGTCCTGGATCGAGGGAGGACAGAGAGGGAGCAGGCAGGAAACTCTCACACCGGGCAAAACGGACCTAAGACTTTATATTGGGCTCAGAAATCTCTGCAAACCCATTTCCCACTGTCCTTTACATTGAAGTCCAGGACTGACTCTAAAACAAACTACATGATCTGAAAAAGTCACAAGCATAATCCAGACCCACACGAAATTATTAAGAGTAGTGTGGATTTATGTCCTTACAAATAAAAGATTGCAACTTGATATTTACCACTAGAAAAGAGCAACCCACTTCAACTAGAAAACCTTTCTTGAGGTCCAAGCATTCCTCCAAGTAACTTCTTCTGAAGCTGTGCTTTATAGGAACAGTGAGTTGGCTAGAAAAACTCAACATGCTAAGTCTCACTGCTTAACTATGGATGCTGAATTTATCTCTGTTTTGATTATTGTTTTTACACCCAAACTATATTCAGTAGCTCTTCCCCCAACACCACCACCCTGCTCACTTACCATCATGCTCTGTTCACTCCATTATACTCATTGTGTCTCCATCATTTACTGTCAACGGGTTCCTTTGCACCTTTTAAAGCAAGGGGTATCTTATTCATCTCAATGTGTTCCCCACGGGCACTCCACTTAACCAGGTGAGCCCAGAAACACACAACAGGGCTTCGTACACATGAGGCATACTTACTAAAGTATTCAGTTGGGTTAGGCCACTGCTTGGGATGCCCTCGGGATGCCCTCATCCCAAATTGAAGTGCTCTTTCTAATCCCAGTTACTCCAACTCTGATTCACCTTCTTGCTAATGCACCAGGGCAGGCAGCAGATGTTGGCCTCAAGTACCTGGGCCCCTGCCACCCATGTTGGAAACTCAGATGGAGTTGCTGGCTCTTGGCTCCTGGCGGCAGCCTGGCCAAGATCCAGCTGTTCCAGGCATTTGAAGGAAGAGCCAATAGATGGAATATCATTCCTCCCACCCCTCTGTCTCTCCCTCTCTGTCACTCTGCTTTCAAATCCATAATAAAATCTTTTTAAGAACATATGCAGTAAACTGGAAAACAAGTCCCTTTAAAATTAGGTAAATTAAAAAGAATATGGAGGGCCAATTACATAGTAAATATTCCGTAAATACTAGTTGATCATTTGGAAAGACTCCCATATCATTCCAATGACCATGATTGTAAAGGACATTGTTATCAGTGAAACACTGAAGCAAAGAGTTTCTTTCTCAGGTATTTCTGCAAGCCACATGGTTATACCTCAAGAAGAAGGCCATCTGTTCCTGCTTCAAAAATATCAGTGGCTCCCTCAATTCTCCAGTATTTTGACTTTGGAAGAGTATATCTTGTTTATGGACAAACCCAACTGCTTTAAAAGGGGTTGAAAACCGCAGAACAAAAATGTATTTTATTATCTTTACCTGCCTTAGAATATCTTACACATTAACGTTTCAGGTTTATTTCCATTTGAATCTAATTTAAAGTGCAAGATGACGTCTGGAAGATTTTTAGAAAAAGGGCTGCTGCATTCCAATTTGTGCACTGAGTATGCTTTTGAGGAAACTGTGTTTGGCTAAAGAACTGACAATGTGCCATGTGAAGAGCCTAATAAGGAAACACTACTTACTAGTGATAGGGCTTGGTGAGACTGAAGATTGGTTTTGTCAGCTGACTTACTTGAATGTAGTTGTCAACAACTCCCCAAGCAAAGTCACAGGGAAAGGTCCCTTCTAGGGGTTGATTTTCAGGTAAAGGAGGGAAGCCATTTTTCTCTATCAGCTTTTGGTAGAACAAGGCTGAAGACTTCGGCAGCAACTTCTTATCCTGACTCAGAAAGTCAACATAGAAGAGTCCCCGTCTGATGTTGTATCCTCGGTGCCACTCAAAACCATCCATGAGGGACCACGCTGTGTACCCGATGACATCCACCCCATCCAGCCTGATGGCTGCAAAGGGAAGAGGAGACAGGAGCAACATGACCTTCACTGATCACTCGCCGGGGACTTTATTACTTAAAGACAAAAATTAAGTTTAATTCTTCTTGTTTCAGAAGCCAACGATTTTTCTTATTGACAAAAGATTCTAGTCCTATCTAGGTAATTCCACAAATAAATGTCTCACAAATAGAGCATTCCCAAATCTGAGACAGTTCCTTATTTCCAATGGGTGCTCTACAGGGCTAGGGAGAGGTCTTGTTCCACTGTGTACCCTAGCATTGTGCCTGATGCAGTAAAGGAAGAAAGTCATTAAAATAATGAACTATTATTTTCTCTATGAAATGTGGATTATGCTTTTTCTTTTAATAATGCCTTTTTTGGACAAAACACTGTATTTAGAGCAAAACTGATACACACAGCATTTCTTTTCTTTTTTGAATGTTAGTGATATTTGTCTTTCTGTGTCCACCTTATTTCACTCAATATGATGCCTTCCAGTTCCAACCATATTCCTACAAATTGTAGAATTTCATTCTTTTCTATAGCTGAATGATATTGCATTATTATATATAATATATATCATATTCTCTTTATCCATTTATTTGATGGCAGACACCTTCGTTAATTCCATATTTTGGCTGTTGTGAATACTGCTGCTATAAACATGGTAGAGCGTGTATCTCTTTAATACAATTAATCCATGCTTTGGGGGTTAATGCATGCTTTTATTTGAGCAAAACAATAACTCAAAAACATGTAGGGAGAGCTACATAGCCTGGGATTTGTTGTATGCTTTAGTCTAAGGATCTGGATTAACAACTCTGAAAATACGCAATTTCTAACATTATAATCCAGTTTTTCAACTACAAAATTAGTTTTAAGTGTTAATTTACATTCCTCAGAAACCCTGAATATGTAAGGTGTTACCTAAATACATTCCTACTGTTGCCAAAATCTACATTATGATTAAAAATATAAATCCACATACTTTATTATAGATAACCCTACATTATTTTTCCAGTGGATTTTGGCAGGAAATGATAATTTTACCTGAATCCTACCTTTTAATGTTTCCATTATGAACTTTTTGAGGTAGTACATGTATTTGGCATCATCTCTCTTGGTGGTCCCTGAGACAAACCAGCCATTTTCCACAATAAATATCTGAGGATGGTTATATTCCAGGGCAATCCAGGAAAGCAGTTGCCTCAGGCTGGGAGATTCTAACTGGCGGAACTTCATTTGAGGATCCAACAATTGGAAGCTCAAGGTTGGTCCAAAGGAAAGAGCAAAGAAGTCAGCTGTTCCCTTGATGAACTTTTTCTCGGCTTCAGTAAAATCAGGCAGAAGAGACGAAAGGTTATTCTTCATGCTCTCAGGATAGTCTCCATCGATAAATATGGGTCTAGCGAACCAGCCTAGTACAAAGTCAAGAGATTTTTGACATTCTTTGATGTTGTGGTCGGTCCTTCTTCGAGGAATGATCCAGTGGGAGCCTAGAGCAATGGACACCTGGCCTCCCTGGGTTGGGCGGAAAGAAGTATTGTAGAGATGCCAGATTTTGGCATGAGCCTGTGAAGAGAAAAACCATGGTGACCTTAGCTCTGATTGTGTGGGAAAATGTGATACATGTTTTAATCCCCAACTCTACTTGTATCTGTTTTTCATCAAACCTAATCTAACGACTAACCACACAATATGAAAATCAGCTGGAACCAATAAATTATTTTGGACGTAGATCACCTCACATTGAGTTGCTACCATGATTGGGCTTATTTTGATTGTTTTTCAGCAGTCAGTGGAAAAACATGAATTTCTTGTGTGTATAGTTATTATTCATATTTTGAAAAGTTAATGAAATAAGAATTTGGGATACTATCTTATGACTTAATTGATTTTGGATTATGTAGTTTTTAATTACTGGGTTGCATGAAAAGAACCAATCCCACAACTGGGATCACACCAGGAATTTCTAAATAGGATTAGAATTTTTTTTATCCTAAGAGACTGGGAGTTTTCAAACTGACTCAACTTGTTGGAGTCAATTTAATATTTCTTGTTCATCTCTCATAGCTAAAATTCTAACACATGTCCCTATAATCTTTGTTCTTCTCTAAGATTCAGCACAATAAATTAAGGGGCCAATTCCAATATCTAACCTTGGCCCACTCTCCAGAACTCTGGGATGGTGCTGGCTTCCCACAGATCAGGATTTGAGGTACAAGCCAAAAGCAAAGACTAGCTAAATAGGCTGCAAAGAAATGATAGTCAATCAAGAGTTTTCTACAGCAATGAAAAGGGTTTTGCCTCTGTAAAACCAACTTTATACTCCCATAAAATCTTACTGACTTCTGATATCTTATTTTCATGTATTCCCTTTTTATTTACCAAGTGAGGATTATGGAGATTTTATTTCTCCCATACTTGAATTACGTTTCAATTTACTTTTGAATTCTTCGATTTCATTCTCCCCAGTTTCCTACAAATATGAGTGCTATCAGTCTTTTATTCTCCTAACATATCCTCTTTGAAAACTCCGTTTTAATTCTGTTTGACTCTGTATATGCTTTAAAATGATCATGCCAATTTTCATCCCACTCCCTGGGTCTGAGGCAGTTCTTTTGCTCAGTGATCCAAATACCCTTTTCATTTTCCCTAAATACGCATCTCATGGTTCATTTCAGTGCAGGCGTCCAAGAGTGGCCTCATCACCATTCTTATGAGTTCAGCCAAACATTTCAATGGGATAAGGTAGTTTATGTCTAATTTTTATTTTTAGTATTTTAGTGAATATCTACCATGTTTCATTTCTCTGCATGTATCTTTTTTCATGACCTGAAGCAGCTATCTATAAGCTAAGAAGGAAATACAGAATAAAATGTTGATAACACAATAGCTATTGCCTATGTGAGCCAAGAAACCAGGGACTCAATCATGCTACATTGTTGCTAGCTCTGTAATATCTGCTGCCCTTCTCCATCTTCCTCCACCTCACCCTTCCCCACTGGCAGGAAATCTCGTGATATGGTTGAAGAGGGAAACAGAAAACCAAGGGAGAAGTCCAGGCTGGTTCCGTAATCCACCTCTTGGGATGTAGAGCCAGGGGATGTTCCCAGTTTGGCCCAACAGGATGCACAGGAATAGTCAACAAATGCTGAGCAGGGAAAGCTGAAGGGCCGGGCAGCTGGGGGGTAACCCAAGACTTTCCCCACCTGGGTCAGTCTTGCCGTTTGCTCAGTGATCCGGGTAGCTGAAGTCAGATAGTAGAATTGTTTGTAATCATGAACCGCTGCTTCCAACCTCAGGGGCTCAGATGTGGTTCACAGGAGGATTAGCGAGGAAATGCTAAGTGACTTGGACCACCAAGAAGGGCACACGTGATCAGTGATACGTCTTCACTTTTTAGTTGTGTGCCTTTGGCCACATTACTTAACCTGGGCAGGTAAGTCCAACTTTCCCTGGCCTCTCACAGTGTTGCTCATGCATAAAATAAGATCATTTATGTAAAATTCCTAACACAGAAATTGAGACAGCAGGGTCTCCACTAAAGCTTCTTCACTCTCTCCTAGAAGAATCAACAAAACAAAAAGGATGAACGTTGCAGGTAGAGGAAGCGCCACCTGCTAGCGCCCATGGCGGGATGCAGTGTAACAAGACCTGGGGTTTGGATCTGAATTCCTCCCTGTTACCAGTGTGGGCCTCAGTTATCTCTCTACAAATGAGGACAGCATCTATTCTCCCATGAGGACGCCGTGAGGATGAAATGATGGGATGCAAGTGGAGGTGGCTAGGAAGCAGGTCATTATTTCAGAGAAGGATACGTGTGCTGCACTGGAAAGCAACCCGGATGTCATTTGGTTTAATCATGCATTCATTCCACTCCAAACCCCTACTGGATGTGTTATCTGACTGCTCTTTATAGCAACAAAATTTGGCCATCCTTGCATAGCACCTTCTCCCACAGGTCCCCCCAAACCCATCCAACCCACTACACTGAGCCGTACACACCTCATCTAGGTGCTGCCCTAATCGTGGACCTCAGCCCTCCCATCATCTGCTGCAGGTGACGACGCATCCCTCTCTGGACTGAGCTCTCGGGGGAGTTCCTGCTTCCCCTCTTTGGCACACGGGAGTGCCATTGTCTGTTAAACTGAACTGAACTCTGAGTCATCGGCTCCTCAGAAGGCGGTTCACTCCACTTACAGATGGCAGATTTGAGAAATCAAATAGTAGGAGGCAGACTGTGGGATTTAGGGTGTTGCAACAACTAAGGATGATTAATGATTAATGGAGAAATGGTTATGTATGGCCTTTCATTGCTTTTGATTTATTCCAGGTACATTAATCTTATAAGCCTATTGCCTTAAGATAGAGATTGAATAAAGCTATTAACAAGAACTCAGAGAAATAATTTACTGTATGGGCAAGAATGTTTGCCTAAATACTATTTCTAATTGGAAGACAAGTCAAATGCCCAAAATCCAAATATATTTACAGCCATATGAGAATATGTTAATACATGGTGGTATAAAATATTACTATTCAAACACCATAAATAATGCAAAGAAATATGTACTTACATGTACAAAGTGTTTCTGAAATACTAACAACAACAACAACATAAAAAACAGGTTACAAAATGGGAAGAGGAGTTTAAAAGCATATTTATTAAGGAAAATACATACAAAAGTCTGAAAGGATATATAACTTGTTAAAAGCCATTTTAGGGAAAGATTATGTGCAGTATAATTTTTTTCAGTTTACCTATCTATATATTTTTCATTTTCTTTTTTTTTTTTTAAAGATTTTATTTATTTATTTGACAGGTAGAGTTACAGACAGTGAGAGTGAGAGACAAAGAGAAAGGCCTTCCTTTCATTGGTTCACTCCCCAGATGGCCGCAACGGCCGGAGCTGTGCCAATCCAAAGCCAGGAGGCAGATACTTCTTCCTGGTCTCCCACATGGGTACAGGGGCCCAAGAACTTGGGCCATCCTCCACTGTTTTCCCAGGCCACAGCAGAGAGCTGGACTGGAAGAGGAACAACCGGGACTAGAACCGGCGCCCATATGGGATGCTGGTGCCGCAGGCGGAGGATTAACCTAGTGCGCCATAGCACTGGCCCCTATATTTTTCATTTTCTACCATAAGCATGTATTGCTTTGGTGATAAAAACATTAAAATTCAAAGACAGAAAATGGTTCAGAACAGCTGGATGCCAGGCTCCCTGATTTATGAGAGACCCTCTGATCTAACTAACCCTTGCCCACAGCTCTCCAGTCTCTGCTTCAGAGTCCAAGGCCCAGGGAAACCCAACTTGAAGTCCTGATTTTCCCAAGGCTTCCACATTCCCATGGGTGCAGCTCCCAAAAGTATGCTTGACCCCTGCCCATTGCATCCACTTTCACCCACATTTCCAAACTCAGCTCAGATACACCACCTCCAGGAGGCCTTTCCTGGCATCTTCTCTCCTCAGCCTTAGCTAAACGTTCACTGTGTGTGTGTTTGCAGCTGACCTCTATCGAAGATCTTAACCATATTCTGCTGCACTTTTGTGAGGCTCTGGGTTGCAGGCACTCTGGACATGGACTGGGTCATTCATCGCTCTGTACTCAGATTCCAGCAGAGTGTCTGGGACAGAGCAAGCATTCTACAACAGATAGGGAGGAATGAAGGCTGGCAGGAAGATCAAACCAGATTGAAAGGTCTGGGACAGATGCAGCATTTTTCTGAGCTGAAACAGAAAAAGTCTCATATGATACTGGCTCTAGTTCATTTCCAAATCCCTGAAGGACAGCATCCAGGCACATGTTTTGAAAATAAAAGAGAGGGAATTTGACATGAAAGGCCTCTGAGAATGATACTGCATCGTCTCACAACGTCTTAATGATCCAATTGGGGTATAAATCACTCTGGTATGTGATGTTCCTCTTGCTTCCTTACCACCCTCGGTTTAGAGTTTGAAATATGGTGTCTGAAATATCTAGGAAAAATGTGGTCTTTCTTTCCACCAATCAGCTAGTGTCCTCAAATTTCTGAAATCCAGGAAAATACTCTTAATCTCATAGCGCATCTAAACATTTTCTCTCTAATTTGTAAGCTCATTGTCAGTTACCTATTTGTATCTTTCACAGAATCCAACACAAAGTTTCACATCAGCGGGGAATGAAGGGTAATGCCGGCAGTGAGCCTGTGTCCACTCCAGCTTTCTGCCTTGGGTCCTATTCCAGACCTGGGGGAGGGAAATGAAACCAAAGCAATTCAATAGCAGTCCCACCACCTGGAGAAGGGTGAAGCCCGAGGGGACGGCTGTGGAAGCAAGTTAACATCCCGCCCCAGAAGATTCTGGGAGGTTTAGCAAAAAGAAGCGGCTCCATGTCTGAGAGCTGAGTACCAAAGGTGGCGCAGGACCGCAGAGCACTGAAATTCCCCGTGGAGAAGCAAGGCTGAGCACTTCAGGCATGAAGCTGGAACTCAGACAAAGCATACCTGAGGAGTAAGGACAGAACTGAAATTGACCTGAAGTGAATTAGAACTGAAATGAAAGCGAAAGGCAAGCCTGACATGATCAAG